CTGTTGGTCTATTGTTATTCTGCTCCAAGCTCGCCCTGTCTCTGGCAGCACAGTCCTACACCTTGATTGGTTACTGCCAGAATCCTGTTGGTCTACTGTTATTCGGCTCCAAGCTCGCCCTGTCTCTGGCAGCACCGTCCTACACCTTGATTGGTTACTGCCAGAATCCTGTTGGTCTATTGTCATTCGGCTCCAAGCTCGCCCTGTCTCTGGCAGCACGGTCCTGCAATGTTTCAGTCACAATACATAACGCCTACCCAGCTCCTTCAACCTTTCCTCGTAGGGCTTGGTCTCCAGACCCCCTCGCCATCTTCGTTGCCCTCCTCTGGACACGTTCCAGCTTGTCGATATCCCCCTTAAATTGTGGTGCCCAAAACTGAACGCGATCACTGGTTGCAGCCGGTCCGGTCCGTGCAGTTCTGCTGTGAGCCTCTGCCATCTGCAGAGGGATCCGGAGCCCATCCAGTTACTTAGAATAGAGAGGCACAGGAAACCCTCTTGCGAGGGAAAACCCAGGCTGAGTAATGACAGCGAGTTGTTGTCAGTTGTTGTCATTATCACACATTACCCCTCGCAGAGCCAAGAGGGCTTGGCACGGCCTAGCAAGCAAACAGTGCCAGGACTTTTACGCAACGGGTAAGAGCTAAAGCAAAAGCAAGCTGATTTTCATTCTTCTTCCTCTTTAGGTTAAATGAGTCTGAGAAGGCTTCCGGGGGCACAAATCAGGTACGTCCTACGAATTTCTTGGAAGACAAAGCCGAGGCGAGAACTGTTAGCCTGCGAGAGTTTGCTTACCTTGTTCGGAATATTTATTTACCATATTTACCATCCAATCGCCATGTCAGATTGCACAGGGTGGCCATTGAAATTCATAAACATAAGCTGGGCTTTTTTGTGTAGAAAAAGCCCAGCAGGAACTCATTAGCATAATAGGCCACACCCAACAGCAGGAACTCATTAGCATATTAAGCCACACCCCTGACATCACAGTGCATTAGCATATTAGACCACACCCCCATGTTACCACACTCACCTTTTGCTTCTTATTCTGTTTACCTTGTTTGTTGTCAAAACCCTGGGGGGTTTTTTGTAGCAGGGACTCCTTTGCATGTTAGGCCACACACCCCTAATGTAGCCAATCCTAATGAGTTTCTGCTGTTAGGTGTGGCCTATTATGTTTTTTTTTTCCTGCTGGGCGTGGCCAACTCAGGAGCCAACCGGAACTCCGTTCCTGTGCGTTCCTGCCCAAAAATAGCCCTGAACATAAGTACCATTTCCACAGGAAAGAAGAGAGTTTAAAAAAATAAAAGTAGGGCATGGTTTCCAGTCTTGAAAAACACAAAATGCTCTGCATCTTACAACAGTACTACAGATAAGATTAGAATGCATATGCAATCCATATGCAAAAGAACTTCCTCAGGAAAGCTCCTCCATTAGCATGTTCACAGCCTGAGGAACTCCTACAAGATAATGACTCAGCCCTACCCCACCTTCCCGAGTAGATATAAATTACCTGCCTACCATTTTTCTTCTCCTCAACTTGACACAGAGAGTCCTCCGTCGTTCTGTGTTATACCTCTGAGGATGCCAGTCACAGCTGCTGGCGAAACACCAGGTACCACAATGCCAAGACCATGGCCACACAGCCCGGGAAATCAACAACAACTAGTTTATTTACTCGTTTGTTTTTAAAGCATTTGTATCACGTCTCTTCCTGTGGCTCAATATCATGGATTCGCCTTGGTTGTGAATCGACGACACACGGTAACAGTGAAGGCTGTATTGATCATAACCGGTTTCTTGAGATCTGGGGTCAGCCGGAGGTCACTGTGCGCTTGCAGAGAACTCTCAGCTCCACCTGCATGGGAAATGAATTGCTTAGAGGAGAAGGATGGTGTTCGGAGTCCCGTGGCGAGTGGGGAGATCCTTCGTCACAACAACAGTAGCATTTGTATATGATCTTCCAAGTGTAACATCGCAAGACTTATATAGATAATATAGCATCCAGTGCAATTTCGATGAGAAATTGGGGAGAGGGATTCTTTCAGGTCAGGCCCGTAGCTACAGTGGGGCATTTCGGGGCCTGGCCCCCCGACTTGCTGCCAAGGCCCCACAACTTCCATCAAGTCCTCCGGCCCCCCCCCCAGCTCTCTGGGCCACCTGGAGGACTCCCCACCGCCTCCCCTTCCCCAAGCACAGCTTGCTTCCCCGTGTAGACAGGCAGAGTGCGAACACCGCAAAAGTGAGTTTTTTAAATTTTTATTTTATTTTGTGATGTCATTGCCCCCTATTTAAAGGCCCCCTGAATTATAAAATCCTGGCTACAGGACTGTTTCAGGTGCCTGTTCTCTTCCGTGGACTCGCATGGGAGAAATGCCCAGTGGACTGTTCCCCAAGCAACATTCCCTCTAAATTGAGTTAGTGTGAGCTAGCACAACAAAAGTCCGCATGGTCAAAGCAATGGTATTCCCAGTAGTCGTGTATGGCTGCGAGAGCTGGACTATAAGGAAGGCCGAGCGCCGAAGAATAGATTCTTTTGAACTATGGTGCTGGAGAAGACTCTGGAGAGTCCCTTGGACTGCAAGAAGATCAAATCAGTCAATCCTAAAAGAAATCAACCCTGACTGTTCCCTGGAAGGCCAGATAATGAAACTGAAGCTCAAATACTTTGGCCACCCAATGAGAAGGGAGCACTCCCTGGAGAAGACCCTGATGCTGGGAAAGGTTGAAGGTCAAAGAAGACGGGGACGGCAAAGGATGAGATGGTTAGACAGTGTCATAGATGCAACAAGCATGAAGTTGAGCAAACTTCAGAGGACGGCGGAAGACCGGAAGGCCTGGCGTGATCTGGTCCATGGGGTCGGACTCGACTGTGCGACTGAACAACACACATTTTTGTGTTTGCTCAGGAAGGATGGCTCCAGAGCAAACTGATTCATGCAGCAGCTATATCGCCCGCGCTCACAACTTTCATGCCAGCAGCTCACACAGTAGAACTCTTGCTCACAAGACTCCACATCTTAAAGGGAGCATTGGCCCCAAGTCCTGCTAAGAAGAGGAGATAGGCCAGGAAAACATTTCTGGGCCACAAATTCCTTCCTTCTCCCTCCCTCCCTCCCGCCACAACCACTCATCAGACTTCCGAGAGATTGTGTGAAACTTTCCAGACACTTCCCTCTTGACGATTAGGCATCGAAACAAGCTTTGCTAATTGAATATCGGGTCTTTTTTTTCCCCCTCCCCTCGGGATTGCAATCGATCCAGAGGGGAGGATGGAAGGGGGTGTGCCCTTTCGAGAAGAACGCCGGCCGGCTGCAGCGACAACAACAAGAATTATTTTTCTTTCTCTCGCAAAAATGCCGCTTGCCTTTGAAAAGGCCCAGCTGCACAGCAGCCTAGCACAGTTTATTTTTAGAGGTAGGCTTTTGTGAAGTGCGATTGTGTGATTCTGCTGAGCAAACCCAGCTCCGCACACCCGGGTGGGGCTGGCTCTTCCACTCGCGTATCGGCACAGCTGTCCTGGAACTGGGACAACGTCATCCCTCGGAGACAATAGAGGAGTGATGTGTAGTTTTTAATCTGTGCTGCCAGGACCATCAGCCCGCGGCTGTAGAAAAGAGCCAGAGTCCAGGAGCACCTTAAAGGCTAACCAAATTTGTGGCAGGGGAGGAGCTTTCGTGAGTCACGGCTCATCCCGTCATAAATTTTTGTTAGCCTTCAAGGTGCTTTTGTTAGCCTTCAAGGAGTCTTGCTCTTTTCTGGCACTTTGTTGTTGTTCAGTTGCACAGTGGAGTCCGACTCTTCGCGACCCCATGGACCAGATCACGCCAGGCCCTCCTGTCTTCCGCTGTCCTCTGAAGCTTGCTCAATTTCATGTTCGTTGCATCTATGACACTGTCTAACCATCTCATCCTTTGCCGTCCCCGTCTTCTTTGACCTTCAATCTTTCCCAGCATCAGGGTCTTCTCCAGTGAGGGCTCCCTTCTCAGTGGGTGGCCAAAGTATTTGAGCTTCAGTTTCAGTATCTGGCCTTCCAGGGAACCGTCAGGGTTGATTTCTTTTAGGATTGACTGATTTGATCTTCTTGCAGTCCAAGGGACTCTCAAGAGTCTTCTCCAGCACCATAGTTCAAAAGAAGCTATTCTTCGGTGCTCGGCCTTCCTTACGGTCCAACTCTCGCAGCCATACATGACTACTTGGAATACCATTGCTTTGACCATGCGGACTTTTGTTGGCAGGGTGATGTCTAGTTCCTCTACCTCTTCAAAACCCAGCTTGTACTTCTGGCAGTTCTCTATCCACGTACTGTTGAAGCCTAGCTTGTAGGATCCTGAGCATGACCTTGCTAGCGTGTGATATGAGTGCAACTGTGCGATAGTTTGAACATTCCTTGGCATTTTTCCAGCACTACAGACAGACTAACATGGTGACCCATCTTGATCCAGCTCGCTGCGGTGTGTGTGGAGTGGCTGTTCGGACTCTGCACCATCCGCAGCGATCCAAGACTCGCAAATGAGGGGGGGTCTTTCCCCGTTTTCATTTGGACCAAGTTTGCACAAGCAGCTCATGTATGAAGTTGTGGTGAGGAGACAGTGTTGCTGGCACAAGGAAGAAGAAGAGGAGGAGGAGGAGGAGGAGATTGGATTTCTACCCCGCCCTTCACTCGGAGTCTCAGACCAGTTTCCCACAAGCAGCTGAGCCGCCCTCGCTCTTCCCTTTTCCCTGATTGTATCCATCAATTTCCCACTACTTGCTGCACAGCCGCATTTTGACCTGCAGCATCCCCCGATTTCCCCCGCGTCTTCTAGATCAGTGATGGCGAACCTTTTAGAGACCGCGTGCCCAAACTGCGACCCAAAACCCACTTTTTTATCGCAAAGTGCCAACACGGCAATTTAACCTGAATACTGAGGTTTTACTTTCGAAAAAACAACTCACACATTAACTTAAGATGATCCAAACAAAGTAAGGAAAGTAATCCCAAATGCTTTCATTTACTTAAAATTATTTGGCAGAGAATTCGACACTTTAATGATGGTCTGGGCCTGGCTGGGGCGATGGCACGCGTGCCCACAGAGAGGGCTCTGAGTGCCACCTCTGGCACCCGTGCCATAGGTTCGCCACCACTGTTCTAGATCCTTGTTTTTTGAGATTGAGAAGATGCAGGGAGAAATCAGGGGATGCTGCAGGTCAAAATGTGGCTGTGCAGCAAGTAGTGGGAAATTGATGGATACAATTGGGGGAAGGGAAAAGTGAGGGCAGTGCAGGTGCTTGTGGGAAATTGGTCCCTGAGTGGCTTACAAACTCCTTTCGCTTCCCCTCCCCACAACAGACACCCTGTGAGGTAGGTGGGGCTGAGAGAGCTCTGAGAGAACTGCCCTGGAGAGAAGTAGCTCTGAGAGAACTATGGCTTGCCCAAGGTCATCCAGCAGGTGCAAGTGGAGGAGTAGGGAATCAAACCTGGTTCTCCCAGATTAAAGTCCACACTTAACCACTACACCAAACTGGCTCTCAAGCCTAGCAACAGGTGGGAGACTCACAACTGCTGGATGGAGGCATCGCTGATGACGTAATGATGTCACCGGCAAACCGCTGACCTCACATCTGGCATGACCGCTAATGACATCAGCATGTCACCGGGCACACTCCAGCATTTGGCCAGAACTCTGTGATTGAACTCGATGGCCGCCCCCACATTTCCCCACTCTTTTTCTTCCACCATCCAGCTGAGCAGCTGGGGGGAAGGGGAGGAGATCCCCCCACCCCAGCGGGAACTTGGCAACCTCATGTTGGAGGTCAGGTTGCCAACTTCTAAACTGGTCCCTGTAGCTGTCCCTGTAATATCAGTTTGACCGAAGAGCCATGATCAGGTAACGTTAGTGCACTTCATGCCAGAAAAAGCTTCAGCTGCCCATTTCTACTGATTAAACCTCTACGAAAGGATGAGGAGGGGTTTTTTTTATAACCTGCCAGTTGTCAGCCCCTCTGTGGAAGAGACCATGAGGGATTTCCCATTACCTTTTTAAACTGCACAGTTTCCGTTATTGGCTCGTCATGGAGGAAACCAGTACATGGACGGCTGTTTCACACAGCATTTCCCTTCCGGTAAGCCGCCGTCTCTGAAGCGCTCTGGCCACTCCAAACTGTGCCACTTTCGTTTCCCGCCATTTTCCCCCTGTGCGCACCATCTCCCTGAGCGGGGTTTTTTTTTTAAGGTTCTACTGGGAGCGTTATGACGCTGAGTTGACCTCCTGTTTCAGCATCATAGCGCTCCCAATCAGGTCTTTTTTTGTAGAAAAAGCCCAGCAGGAACTCATTAGTATAATAGGCCATACCCAACAGCAGGAACTAATTAGCATATTAGGCCACATCCCTGACAGCACATATCATTTGCATATTAGGCCACACCCGCGTGTTACCAGTAGTATGGTCACCCAGCCACACCCACCTTTTGCTTCTTATTCTCTTAACCTTGTTTGTTGTCAAAGCCCAGGGCCTTTTTTTGGAGCAGGAACTCCTTTGCATGTTAGGCCACACACCCCTAATTGTAGCCAATCCTAATTTATTTATTTATTTATGCTTTCGGCTTGTATCCCGCTCAAACCCCAAGGGGTCTCTGAGCGGCTTACAGTTACTCTTTATCCCTATCTATGGCCACACATAGTCAGGGGTGGGGACTGCCCTACCAGCGCCCAGTGGAGGGACTTGCTGTTCTTCGGCTTATTGTCGGCTCGGCTTTCGGTTTGGCTCCTCTTTCTTCTCCTTCCGGTGGTCTTCGGCGTCGGCTGTATTCGGCGGACCCATGAGTTCCTGCTGTTGGGTGTGGCCTATTATGCTAATGGGTTCCTGCTGGGCGTGGCCAACTTGGGAGCCAGCCGGAACTCCTTTCCTGTGCGTTCCTGCCCAAAAATAGCCCTGCTCCCAATAGAATATTTTTAAAAAGAGAGAGGAGAGATTGCACGCCGGGGGGCAAAAGGGCGCGAAAAAGCCGTCACTGGAGCTTACACAGCCCACTGTAGCGATTCAGATCCGGAAGAAGGGATTGAAGACCTGAGGAAAGCAGTTTTTTGTCAACAACGCCTCAGGCACGCTTCCCAAACGGGAGACAATCGGCATTGTATGAACAGTTAAATATATTCCGTTAACAGCCGGTTACTAAAATGGGTCTGTCTGAAACGACAGGGAAAAAACCCTTTAGTAATTAGTTCCTGAAACAGAACAGAGAGGCTGTCTGAAATCCTTTCTTGTCTGAGCGCTCCTCCAGTGGGGAAAGCACTGCATCTGGAAAACTGGTATCTCCGGGGGAAAGCCGAGAGAGAAGAGAGATTGGGTTTATACCCCGCCCTTCACTACCCAAAGATGTCTCGGAGCGGCTTACAAACTCCTTTCCCTTCCCCTCCCCACAACAGACACCCTGTGAGGTCGGCGGGGCTGAGAGAGCTCTGACAGAAGCTGCTCATTTTCAAGGACAGCTCTGACAGAACTACGGCTTGCCCAAGGTCATCCAGCAGCTGCAAGTGGAGGAGTGGGGAATCAAACCCGGTTCTCCCAGCTTAGAGTCCGCGCACTTAACCACGACACCAAACTGGCTCTCAGAAGCCCTCTCTCCAGTGCCTATGTTTTCTATAGGGTTGCCAGCCCCCAGGTGGGAGTGGGGGGGATCTCCCAATTTCATGGGCTCCTGCCCGCCACCAGCCAACTGACTGGTGGGGGAAGCCCCACCCCCAACAGCCACAACCCGGTACAACATTCCTGACGTGATGACCTCACACAGAAGTGACATCATCACACTGGAGGCATCATATAAAGTGACGTTGCCCCATTCCCCACTCCTGAAAAGCTCCTCCCACCCCCCGCCAGCAAGAGGTAAGCACCTCGCACAACCCTAGTTTTCTATATGAAGAGGTGTGTATATAAACTAGGAAGAAGGTCCGTTGCAGAGACAAATGCAATGAGCTCTAGCTGGGCCACTGCCTGCCAGCCCCCCCTCGGGATGTGCGTTCCTGCCCAAAAATAGCCCTGCTCCCAATAGAATATTTTTAAAAAGAGAGAGGAGAGATTGCACGCCGGGGGGCAAAAGGGCGCGAAAAAGCCGTCACTGGAGCTTACACAGCCCACTGTAGCGATTCAGATCCGGAAGAAGGGATTGAAGACCTGAGGAAAGCAGTTTTTTGTCAACAACGCCTCAGGCACGCTTCCCAAACGGGAGACAATCGGCATTGTATGAACAGTTAAATATATTCCGTTAACAGCCGGTTACTAAAATGGGTCTGTCTGAAACGACAGGGAAAAAACCCTTTAGTAATTAGTTCCTGAAACAGAACAGAGAGGCTGTCTGCGTCTCAGTTCTCTTTTGGGGGGGTTGATCGTCCACAGCGCCCGACAGCAACGCCGCGCCTCGCAAACACCCCCGGATCTCCTGGTAGGCTCAGGCTCGTTCCGGCTCAGGCTCGTTTCGGGGGCAGGCCCACGATAGTCTCTGGCTGCAGGCCCAGGAGCTCCGGTCGGCCAGTCCGGCTCCGCCCGACTCGGTTTCTCTTTGGGGGGGTTGGTCGTCCACGGTGCCCGACAAGCAACCTCGCGCCTCGTAAACACCCCCAGACCTCCAGGTAGGCTCAGGCTCATCTCGTGGCATGCCCCGGCTGGGTAGTTGTTACAGTTGCCACTTTTTTGATCTTTTTTCGATCTTTTTCGGCTTCTCGGTGCCTCCAGCCTCTATGTGCTGTTGCTGGACCCCTACAGGATAGTTTTGCCAGCCCCCAGGTGGGATGGGGGGATCTCCCAATTTCATGGGCTCCTGCCCGCCACCAGCCAACTGACTGGTGGGGGAAGCCCCACCCCCAACAGCCACAACCCGGTACAACATTCCTGACGTGATGACCTCACACAGAAGTGACATCATCACACTGGAGGCATCATATGAAGTGACGTTGCCCCATTCCCCACTCCTGAAAAGCTCCTCCCACCCCCCGCCAGCAAGAGGTAAGCACCTCGCACAACCCTAGTTTTCTATATGAAGAGGTGTGTATATAAACTAGGAAGAAGGTCCGTTGCAGAGACAAATGCAATGAGCTCTAGCTGGGCCACTGCCTGCCAGCCCCCCCTCGGGAGAAGGGGTGGCGGCGGCCTCGTCCCCCAGGCCCAGCGGTGGGTAGAGCACAGCCGCTCCGCCAGCACCTGCATCCCAGCTCCCTCCACCGGGGTCAGACAGGAGGAGGGTCTTGGCATGGCAGCGGGCCCGCATCAGGGAGACCTCTCGGTGTGTTCGGTGCTGGTGGTGGTGGCGGGGCGCAGCGTGGAGCAGCGTCAGAGTCGCCTCGGCTGCCCCGGATGACGACAACAGCAGCAGTCGCCGCCCTGCTGTCTCGACCATGGCATTTCTGAATGTGTGTGGCTCTTGCGCCTCTTCTCCACTTCTCCCAGTGGGCCTGCTCCCCCTCCAGCCGCTGGAGCACCCGTCCCCTCGGGTGACTCAGAGCACAGTGACCCAGAGACGCTGCCGGCCACCTCGCCGCCTCTGTGGGCGGGACGGAGGCAAGGGAGCCAGCCAATGCAGCCAGGGGATCCTTCAGAGTGGCAGGTGCGAGAGCCAAAGGCTGCGGGAGCATTTGCAGGAGGGACACCAAAACTCTTTTATATATAAGGAGAGATGATACCAACAGGGCTTTTTTGTGCGCCGGTGTACACTGGGACAGTGTACGGATGCTCCTTTCTGACTGGCCTCTTCACAAAGAGGCTGGACTAAGAACGTGGCAGATGAGACTGCCGAGAAGGCGTAACGCGAGTCGATCATCTGCCCGGCCACCTTCTCTGCCAACTATTTAGCAGTGGCCGGCTGAGAAAGTGGCAGGCAGATTATATTCTCTGTTGTGCCCGCTGTTAATGTCATCGGCGGGCGCTATGGAGCATATCGGCTGTCTTGTTCCCTTCTCTGCAGTCCCACCTACTATCTTCTTGGCTGGCTTCTTCACAAAGAAAGCACTTTACTGTGTATGTAAAAAAAGCACCGGGTATCTATGTGGGGAATATTCAGTCACGATCCCCGGCTTGTTTTCTGAAGTAGCAAAAGGCTTATCACATAATCAGTTCTTTCTTTCTTTCCTTCCATAAGACATAAGAGACTGGAAGCCACTTTGTAGACTTCAGCATCCTCCGTGAGAGGCTGTCCCCCCTAATGTGATTTTGGACAGCTAATTAAGCCTTCCCGAAGCTCGGAGACCCCGCTTCCTGACCCCTGCGTTTAAAATGAAAAGCAACACTCCTGCCACACTTCACAAGAAATGGTGTCCGTGGCTTGCCAGGCACAACAATTATCTCAGGGCAGGAAAAAGTTATTTATGAAGCGGCACAAAGGGATTGACTCGGAACTTAGGGGAGGGAGCGCTCTCTGGGATACACAGACCCCAAGCGGTGCATGTGCAAACGACGGGAGAAAGAGCAGAGAGCTTTCCGCAGCATGGAGTCCTACTCAGTGTGCATGTCTCCATCCAGGAGTCCATTGTTTTGTTTGCTGAACTAAGGCTCACCAGATACCTGATCTGTTGAGCCAGCGTGGTGTAGTGGTTAACAGCCGGACGGACTCTGATCTGGAGCCCCGGGTTTGATTCCCCAGTCCTCCACATGCAGCCAGCTGGGTGACCTTGGGCTAGTCCCAGTTCTCTCAGAGCTCTCTCAGCCCCACCAACCTCAGAAGGTGTCTGTTGTGAGGAGAGGAAGGAAAGCAGAAGAAGAAGAAGAAGAAGAGATTGGATTTATACCCCACCCTTCACTCTGAGTCTCAGAATGGCTTACAAACTCCTTTCCCTTCCCCTCCCCACAACAGACCCCCTGTGAGGTAGGTGGGGCTGGGAGAGTTCTTTCGAGAACTGCTCTTTCAAGAACAGCTCTGACAGAACTATGGCTTGCCCAAGGTCATCCAGCAACTGCAAGTGGAGGAGTGGGGACTCAAACCTGGTTCTCCCAGATTAGAGTTCGCGCACTTAACCACTACACCAAGCATTTGTAAGCCATTTTGAGATTCCTTAAGGTAAAGAAAAGCGGGGTATAAAACCCTACTCCTCTTCTTGTTGTTGTTTCTGCTGGTTCTTTGGTCTGCTTTTAGGAGGCCATCCTGCTAGCCAGCCCATAAGATCCAGGATAGTGGTGGAAAATGTCATTAAGCCACAGCTGATTTATGGAGACCCGGTAGGATTTTGAAGGGCGGAAGTGAACAGAGGTGGTTTGCCATTGCCTACCTCTGCGTAACAACCCTGGACTTCCTTGGTGGTCTCCTGTCCAAGTACTAACCAGACCAAGCGAAGAGAGAACCATGGAAACAACTATAACAAATAAAAGTAAACCGTGATGGATTGACTAATAATGATTGCTAAATCTTATATAAAGCATCTCTTATCCAATGCTGTGCCCAATTACTTGTCAGCATCTTTTTTTGGTACCATATATAGTTATGCCAACCTGACATCAAATCATGGCCTTCAAGTTTAAGTAATCTATTATTCTCTAAATTAATCCAATCCTTAATCCAACCCATTGTAGTAGCCTTATAATACAATGTCCAATCCGATAGTGCCAAACCCCCTCTTTTCATAGTAT